GCCTAATAACAATCATTCTTGCATTTGATGTCACGTTGTGAGACGTCTCAAAGCGCTTCACAGAATACACTGTAAAGTGAATTGACTACACATTTTGTTGCCGAAACGCAGCAGCCAATTACGCACAGCAGTGTCCCACAAACAGTTGTGGATTGAGTGTCCACATTTTTTAAAAATATTTTTGGGATGAATTATTACCAATTATTACCAACAGAAAGCAATCTGTCAACTAGCTTTCTACTTACGGCTGGGTAAACAGAGGTTTATGCAGTAAGGAAACTTGCCTAAGGTATTGCCATGCCCAGGAATCGAACCTGGGACGTCCTCCTGACGTGAAAGGCGCTCTAAATGTCATTTTGTTGTTGTTTTCTCGCTTGTGAGGCGAGTGCTCTAACCAATACGCTACAGGACTCCTAAATAGGATTTGAAGGTCATCCTGTACCCCACTGAAGTATAGGGGTTGCAATCCTGTATGGTTTCACCTGAAAATACAAAATAGTTTGTTCTAAGTGTTGAGAACTGTGAAATCTAGGAATGTATAAAAGATGTTCATAGATTTGAGAGTGATTGGCGTTTGAAAAGGCAAATTCTGGGGGTTTAGGGACCTTTATTTGAATGCAAGCAGCTGATGAAATCACCCTGCGTTATTAGAGGATGAGCAGGGACCTGACCCAGAGATCTTTAGCTGTGCCCTGAATTAGCTTCTCAGATCTGCATAAACCGCCTGATCTGATTCAGACACAATTGTTTTCCTTTCTGCATCCTTCCTCTTTATGTGTGCCTGTCTCTCTGTACCAAACCTGGCTGAGGGAGTTTGCTGTGCGCAGAGCACCAGTGCCTGAAAAATAAATGCATAGAATAATAATATGCATTTGAAAAGAAACTCCATTCAGCCTTTATTAAAAATTCTGCTGATTGCTCATTGAAATTATTCCTCCTGTTTATGGCAGGCCTAAGAGACTACGTATTATTGAAGTGTTCCACAATGTGCCTGGAACAGTTGTTCGACTCTGTGGTCCCACACTGTCAACTGACATTGCCCAGTGACGCTCCTGCCGCTTCTGTCAACCAACGGCTAAACAAATTGCATTTGTGTCGAGGCTTACACGTCGGGAGTACGTCTCAAGGCGCTGGACAGTCAAGGATTTGGACCCGAGCTGGAGGCTGGGATCAAGAAGGGTGGAGGGCAGGGAGGGTAGTAGGGCGACCGAAGATGGGGTCGAATAAGAAGGTCTGGAGACGGGCCTTGAAGGAAGCAAGGGAGGGGAGGGCGAGCCAAAGAGACCGTGGGGTGGGACAGAGAGACTGAAGGCCCGACCCTTTTGTGGAGGAAGAAAACTTGCCTAAGGTTTTGCCGTGCCCCGCTAAGACTCAGAAGTTTTACTAGTTCGAAGAACAAAGCAATGGAGAGTTCTGCGTGATGTGATTCTTTTAATCTCTCTGCGTGTTTAGTGGATGGTTCACTCTTCTGTTTGACCAACTCACTACAAGTCATCCGCCCCACTAAATAAAATAGCTTCTGCCAGCATCCCAAGGATGGAACAATTTTTATATATTTTGAAGCATTAACTGACTTACCATTACATTTAGGCGGTTTGAATACACAGGTCAGTGTGTTTGTGGCAGATTTCCTGCAGTTTAGCGTTCAGTTTTTTTAAAAAGCTTTAGTACAGAAATCCTCATCCGTTCATCACAGCGCAGATCCATTTAGAGCTCTTGAGATGCTGGAAAAGCAATTCACTACCATTAGCAAACTAAAACGCTGCTTGTCCAATGTCCACACTGTATCATGTAACCTACCATTACCGTTGCTACCACTAACTAAATGGTAGTACTGAACTGTAACAATTTGGGTTTGTTGAGTAGATTTGGGATTAAAGAGATGGATATTTCCCGCTGCGAAGGAATAGATTTTGGCTAGAGTTTGTTTTTTTGTTGCAGGAAAACATTGTTTTTGGTGGGTGGCGTTACATTGGTCGTGGGGTGGGGTGGTGGGGGGTGATTAGATGATACAATATTAAACTGCTTGAGTATGTACACTAAAATCTAATTTACCCGACCAACGTACTGTTAATGGATAAGTTGAGCTCTGGAATAGTGGCCAAAAGTTACATATTCAAATTCCAGTAAATACACTTAATAAAGTTGATCAAGTTTTATTTAACATTTATAATGATTGAAGCTTGCCTGTCTATCTGTAGAGCATCTGCGTGGTTATCTGTCACCTTACATTTGCTTTCAGACAGCACTGCTTCTGTCTGTTTTTTTTTTGCAAGTGAAGAACGACCCACATCTAAAGAATAAAACCTGTTGACGTGGGTTAGGTGAAGTCTGGGCAAAAATGGACAATTTGTGTATGGCGCTTTGAAGGGAGGCCTATGTAGAAATATACTACTGCCTAGCAGAATTTTTGCAACAACTGTACTTCAGAAATGTGAAGATGTCAGATTAAAAAGCCTGCCTTAAATAGTTTTGTTCAAATTCCTTGACTTCTAATTGACAGCTCAGAGAAATTGGTGCTCACATTGTAATGTGGCTGTTGTTCATGACAATACTACTAAATTTAACGAGTGAAGGATTTGGGGGATGTTGAAGGATTCTTTTCATCTGTGTCAGCGTAGTTGACTAGGTGATATATTTGAATTCTAGCTAACTGTTTGAGGACACACAAAATTACTCAGATTAGTTTAGCAGCACTCCCAACACGTGACTGAATTTGATTTTTATGCTGAGAAAATCTCATTCTTATTTTTTCATTATCTCTGAAAGAATGCAGTTTGCATTTTCATTCTGACACATTAGCATCTTTTCCTCTTTAATTATTAAAATCTTATTTCTATTTCTGGCCTGTTAAATAACACTTCTATTTTTCATTCAAGAACTTTTTTTTTGGGGGGGGGGGCGGGGAAGTAATTCAGTAAAAGTGCATATCGTTTTAATAATAAAATTCAGGACAAACGTTGCTTTTCCTTCACAATAGGTTTTCGGCTAAAAATGGTTAATGTGTGTCGCTGGGCGATGGAGAGGAATTTGAATATTATGAATAGATTGAACATTTTGGAATTCATGTTGGATCTAACTGCATCTCCCCATCCAATGAACAGCTGACATTCCAGTCGGTTGCTATAGAAAGTCTTCATGCTGTGCAAACCAAGCCTGCCCTGTCAAATAGAGTTGACGCAGTATTTATGTTCTACTTCCAAGATGGTACGATTACGTTCAGTAAATATTGTCTTGTTCTGAATGTAAAGCAGGCTGAAAGGATCAACTTTCCGCAAAAAAAAAAAGTCCCTCTTTATTGAAGTTTCTGAAGTTTATAGTTTCAGCTGTTGATGGATGTTAATTTGAATTTATTTTTTTTTGTCCCTCTTTTTATTCCCTTCTGCTTTAAGTCCCGTCTCAAGACCCTCCTCTTCAACCACGCCTTCGGGCACCCTCCTAACCATACCCTCGCTTCCCTCCACCCCTCCTGATCCCAACCCGCAGCTCGGGTCCAAATGCCTGACTGTCCAGCAGCTTGGGACATCCTCCTGACGTGAAAGGCACTTTACAAATGTAATTGACCAGATTTTAAGAAGACAATTTTTAGGTGTACAGGACTCCACAGTTTAGCTGGTTAAAGCTGAGCTAAAACTCAACATCCACTCTGGGGTTCCCAAGTCTCAGCTCTTGCCAACCTAAACAATGTGGGATTAATAATGATTATACTTGCATTTGATAGCATCGAGACATTATTGTCTCAAAGCGCTTCACAAAATATACTGTCTGCCTTTTTTTAATCTAAAGGATTCTGATCTTCCATTTAAGAACTTACACGTGTATCGTATTACTCTGTGACACAATAAATGGGTAAAACTACAATTTTTATTCTCTTCAATATAGCTATGAATGAAACATGGATTTCCATTGTGTAGAATGCCACACGTGTGGTGCTGTGTTGTATTTGAGTCCTGAAAAATATTGTGGTCTTAGCATTAAATTCATCTCCTGGTAAATTAAGATTGTGCAGAATTTTGGTAAATTCATTTAACTTGCAAGAATTGTGGAAATCTTCTTTCAAAAGATGGGACTGTAAGAATTCCAGGTGCTAAATTAAACGATGATTTAAGTAGAAGATTAACATTTTAAGGCTAAGATTGCTAAAAGGGGATGATAGCGTGGTTGTTCTGGAGCAATGAGATCCGATGGGCAAAAGGGCCTTCTTCATCCAAACCAATCTTGAGATCTTACTTCCAAAGAGATAATGCTTGGCCAGGATGATGATGATGATGATGATGTCATTTTATACACAGAACCTAACCCATAAAGTTGGGAGGCAGGATAAAAAGGAGAAATAGCTCTGGCCACATCATGTTGTTGAAACGTCTCAAAGGACTTCACAGAATTTTTGTTCAAATGTATGACTGTGTATTTTTGTAAGTGAACGCGGCAACCAATTTGCTCGTAGCATTGTCCCCATAAGCTGTATAGTAAATGGCTGTGGATTGAGTGACCAAATTATTTATTTATTTTGAAGGGATTATTACCCCTGGAAAACGATCCACCACCAACAACAACAACAACAACAAGATTCCATTTATAAAGCGCCTTTCACGTCAGGAGGACGTCCCAAGGCGCTGCACAGTTGGGTCATGACCCGAGCAGTGGGGAAATGGTCAGGGTGAGGGGAGGGAGAGAGGAGGGGGAAATGGTCAGGGTGAGGGGAGGGAAGGGAGGGAGCGAGGAGGGGGAAGAGAGTCGAGAGGGGAGCTGAAGGCACGGTCAAAGAGAAAGGTTTTGAGACCGGCCTTGAAGGACTAACCAATCGACTAACAGGGCTCCTACTTGCTGCTAGGTGAACAGAGGCGTGTGGAATAAGGAAACTTGCCCAAGGTTTCACCCTGCCCGGGAATCAAACCCAGGTCCTCTCGTCGTGAGGCGAGTGCTCTAACCAATACTCTGCAGGACTTGATTGTTAGTTTCTGGTTCTGATTTCTGACCAGTTTTGTTTTCTCTTGCAGCTGATAGTTGAAAAGACCACTGACTACCCGTCCACTGAGTATTCTCTAGTGGAGGATGTTGCCCTCCACTTTACTTGTTTGATGGACAGACTGAACGAGCAGCGCCTCTTTCAGCCAGATTTGTGTGATGTAGACGTGGTATTGGTGCGGCAGAAGAACACGTTTCCCGCTCACAAGGGAGTCCTTGCAGCGTACAGTCAGTTCTTTCATTCCCTCTTCACGCAGAACAAGCAGCTCCAGCGGGTTGAACTTTCCCTGGAAGCGCTAACGTCTCAAGGGTTCCAACAGATCCTTAACTTCATCTACACTTCAAAGCTGCTGGTAAATGCCTGCAACGTGCAGGATGTTCTGAATGCTGCTGCCGTTCTGCAGATGAATGATATTGCTACTTCCTGTCAAGAATTAATAGACAGCCGGTCCCTAAACCTGACCACAGTGAGTAGCGACATGTCAAAGCAGGAGGGCCGCGGCAATCCACTTAGTTCTCAGTTTTACCGGGAGATCAAGCAGGAGGTTGATCCGCATCCCAAGATTTACGCTCGCGAGGGTAACAACCCATACTCGGTCCGTGTGGAGGACAATGTTGTGAAGCAGCACCCACCCGTGCAGCCAAAGCAACAGTATTACAAGGAGGAGAACAACAGCCGAACGGTGTGCAAGATTGAAGGGGATGCTGAGGAGCTGGATAACTCTGAGAGCAGGAGCTCGTATAACAGGGAGCAGATCATCGTGGAGGTGAACCTGAACAATCAGACGCTGAACGTTTCCAAAGGGGCCGAGGGCATGTCTTCTCCCTCAGAGGCCACTGCCGTGCTGGGGAGGTGTCCAGAGGATGAGGAGGAGGAGGAGGAAGACGATGAGGAGGACGAGGAAGAGGAGGAGGAAGAGGACGACGATGAGGAAGATGCTGACGTCGGGGATGAGGAAGACGAGGAGGAAGAGGAAGACGCCAGCGAGGAGGAGGAAGAGGAGGTTGAGGAGAGCGAGGAGGACGAAAACGAGGAGGATAATTCCGACACACCAGAAGTCAAAACTGAGAGCGGGCAGCCGACTCGCAGAGCAGTGAGGGCTTCAACCGCCTCCAAGGGATCCGTCACTGCAGCTTCCAGTCGGTCGCGGAGGAACACCAAGGCAGAGGTGAGCGCCCGGGGCAGGAAGCGGAAGAAGGATTCTGACGGCTCGAATCAGAAGGTGAAAATAGAAGAGAAGCAACACTACCCCTGCAAAAAGTGCCCCAGGGTTTTCAACAACCGCTGGTACTTGGAGAAGCACATGAACGTGACGCACAGCCGCATGCAGATCTGTGACAAGTGCGGCAAGAGGTTCGTGTTGGAGAGCGAGCTCTCTCTGCATCATCAGACTGACTGTGAGAAGAGCATTCAGGTAGGCCGTTAGTTTGCACTTTCAACATCTTAGTTGCATTTATTAAATTCTTATTACTCGATAAAGAGTCGATCACCTTGAGACATCCCCCAATGTCAAAATGGATAAATGTATATTTTGTTGTACAAGTCATATCAGTCGGGATCACTACATTTAGTTTGACTTGTCTGAAGTCCGAGTTGCAGGTAAACTTGTATGATTCGTAGGAAAACAAACTGATTTAATCAATAAACTGCACTGCGCATGCGTAATTAAATACAGCCGAACCCTGCTTAGTCGGTGACTGGACAAGACTACGTTTCCTGCGACTCAATGTGTCTTGACCCGTTCCCGCATGCGCACTTATTGACAAGCGTTGGAATAGCGTGGAATCGCGGAAAGTTAAGTTTTTCTGTGCATGCTCCGATGGATCAACAACAGCTTGCATTCATGTAGCATCCTTCACACGGGATAGCATCCCGGATCAAGACTATATTTCCCACGATTTAGTGCAGTCACCCGAAGCACGCTTGCTCGATGGGTCAAGTGCGCCGTTTCCCACAATTCAAGGCCAGTAATGGAGGGTAGGAGGTGATTAATATGAGTCGTGCAAAGAAATGTAAATAGTTTTGATAGGCAACCGAATAGGACTCGGGCGAATGTGTGACAATTTATAACGATAAGACTTGTGCGAATTTTATTGCATCAACTATTTGATGCATTTAATTGGCTCCATTTTGTTATTTTTTTCAATGTCCTGAATCCTGCTCCAGGCGTGTTGTGGCTGCCTGAGATCTTGTCTTCTCCTGAAGGTCAATGTCTTAAAACTTGTGTAGCATTTTGGGGAAAAGCTAATTCAGTCTCACAAATTACATTCATACAACGCTTTTCACGTCGGGGGACGTCCCAAGGCGTAGGATAGTCAGGGATTTGAACCCGAGCAGAGGGTTGAAATCAGGAAGGGTAGAGGGCAACAAAGGTAGGAGGTTGACTGAAGTGTGGTCAAAGAGGAGGGTCTTGAGAAGTGCCTTGAACGAGGTAAGAGAGGGAGCGAGGCGAAGGGTCTGTGGGATGGTGTTCCAAAGGTTTGGGCAGAGAGGTTGAAGGCTTGACTGCTGATTGTGCGAAGCCTGCGATTCTTGGACTAAATTTAAGAATTCCCAAATTAAACTTTTAAGACAATGGTCTTAAGGGTGAGAACATGAGGCATTTCAGGGACCTGGTGCTGTGCCAGTACAAGTGAAGCCAATTCTACTGTACCCTTTTATGTTGTTCTTCAAATGTTTCCCATTTCCCTTTTAAAAAAATGTTGTGATCTTAGCTTCAATAGCCACTTGCAGCAAAATATTTTGCATTTCGGTAACCCAGCACGTGAAAATAAATCATCCAACCTCCTCCAGAACTCTCGCAGTGACAATCCTGACTTTCATTAAAATTTAATTTCAGTTGGCTGCCCCATTTCGCCGACAAAAAAAATTGTCAATTCACTTTACAGTCTATCCTGTGAAGCGCTTTGAGACGTCTAAAAGACGTGAAAAGACCTATATCAAATGCAAGGATTATTATTATTATTCAGCTCCCACTGGTTATCGATTTACCAGTCAGTGGGAATGGAATGTTCTTTCGCTATTTATCCTCAAAGACTTCAAAGTGGGTCTTCTGATTTGCATCTTACATTTGTAAATTTCTCCCTCTGCAAACCTTTTGTAAGTTCTTTCTTGTTTCACTGTATCTGATCCTTTGTGGTTGGTTAATCATCACCCTCATCTCTACAGCATGGTTCTTTCCTACACATTGAGGGTTCTTACAATATGGATTACCTTACCAGAAATAGCTGCTGTACATGACAGCATTTGGAAGAAAATTGAGTAAATATTTAAGGGAAAATAATGAAGGGCGTGGGAAAAGAATAGGAATGGAATTAAAGTGGAGAGCTTTAACGGAGGAGCACTAGAACGATGAGCCTGTTAATCTCCATATGCACTGCAAATGGGTCTAGGATTAAACAGAGGGTGATTGCAATGTCGAGCTCCCTGCCACAAACTGCAGCGGCTGTGGTTGAAGCTGAGCTCATCAATTATTTTGAAAGGGAATTTGGTAGATGCCTGAAAAAGAGAAATAATAAAATGTACTGGGAGCAAGCAAGATTAGATTAGGTGGCTCCCTTGACTCCTTCAAGGCTCAGCTCAAGAAAACTCCTCGTCGAATGTGCCTTCGGTCATCATCCTACCCCCTACCCTCCCTGTCCTCCACCCCCTCCTGATCCCAACCTCCAGCTCGGGTACAAATCCCTGACTGTCCAGCGCCTTGGGACATCCTCCCGACGTGAAAGGCGTTATACACACGTAATTTTTTATTGTGATTGTCTGAATGACCTATTTCCTGTGCTGTAGAATTCTGTGTTCTCGTTTCTTCTCGAGCATGACTATTTGCACGAACGTTTCTCCTAAATTGGTTTGAATACACTGAGGTCAAGTGTTGGATTTTGCTGTAATTAACAGAATCTTGAAACCTTGGCCTAAGAGATCTGAATGCACGTTGATGCTGGCATTCCAACGATATTCAGCTCCATGACAGTATTGTTAACTGACCCGTTCTCACAGTTAAGTGGCTTCTGCAGATAAAACTGCAATGCCTGCTCGTTCTCCACACGTTCAGACACAGCTTGGGAATCCTGCACCTGTCTGGGCGTTTTGCTTCCCAGCTCCCATCAGGTATGAAGACTTTCAGGTTTCTAACAGCAGATGTTCAATTCAGGAATGTGCTGGGCTGTGTGTGCATTCACCACTCTCCTCCGCTCTTCCACCCGAGTTTAGCTTTTGAATTGTCAGGAAGCGGTGGGCTCAGGAAGGGAGGTCAGTGGAGTAAACTCGTGGGTTCTGTGTTCCTGATATTTGGGAAGCGAATTGGTGATGCACTGAACAACTATTGGATGAATCGCTTCAAGTGTTCAGGTAGGCTTCATTAACCCTGGCCTAAAATGCTAAATTGCTTTTATTGAACCAGCCACAGGGCCACCAGAGCTTCTACCGCCTGGAGTCCTGTAACTCAGTGGTTAGAGCATTCACCTGGCAAGCGAGAGACCTGAGTTTGATTCCCGGTAGGGTAAACCATTGGGCCTCTGTAGTAAGTAGGAACCCGCTTGTTAGTCGATTGGTGGATTGCTTTTCTGGGGGTAATCATGCCTTCTAAAAAAGTTAACAATAATAATTTGGTCACTCAATCCATGACTGTTTGTGGGACACTGCTCTGCGCAATTGGCTGCCGCCTTTCGCCGACAAACTATAGTCAATTCACTTTACAGTATGTGCTGTGAAGTGCTCTGAGACGTCTCGAACACGTGATAAGGTGCTATATCAAATGCAAGGATTATTATTTTTTTGTAATCAGCACAAGCTACCTGTTCTGGATTAGGTAGTTTGTGATGGGCTGAATGACTTGTTTTCTGCGATGTAGCAAGCGAGAGCACAGTGTAAGTTTATTCAAGCAAAGTAAAAATGTTTTGTCTACATTGTCAACATGGGCTTACAGACTCAAAACAACTTCCAAAAGGCTTTTATTGAGGTTTTTAACCAAACTTCCTTAACGACTTCCTTGCAGAAGACCCAAGGTTCTTGTGCATGCTACTAGCAATGTGTGTCCGTTTTCTAAAAATACAATAGGAACTTTGACAAAACATTTCTTTTAGACATCTGATTGTGTTTAACAGACTGTGTAAACTAGTGAGTCAATTTTAACTGGTGTGTCACATGACTCAATAATTGCTCGAGAATACAAAGTAATCTGATGCACTTTCGGGTTGTCAGGGAATGGGTCGATCTTGACAACCAAAATCAATTGCAAGGCGAGGTATCACACATTGAACTTTTCGATAATGGCAGCACTGAGTAAAGGAATGCATTATTTTTGTCTTGGCACACGTATTGGATTTTTACTTTCTCCCTTTTTATTGCGGGGGTTCATTAGGACTGCATCCTGTATTCTAAGCGTTCTGGGACGTTACCCTGCATGAGGGGTGAAAGTTGTTGTTCCTCATTTAAGCATTGATATGAGCCCAGTCGTAACGCCCTATATCTTTGGCCAGTCATTTTCATACCTCTCAGCGTCTATAGAGCACACGACATGAGCACATGATGCATGGTGATGTGAGGATGTTTCGCACTCCTGTTTGTATCGAGATCTTGGAAGAAATGAGACCTGCAACAAAAAACGAAAACTTAAGGCCAGCGAATCGACAATCAGAGGTTTCTCTCGAATTCCTAACTTTATTTGGCTCCAGGTGCCGTTCACTGTGTGCTCAGGTCGTAAACATGATAGCCTTAGATACCTGCCTGAGTGCATAATCTAAACAGATGTTTTACTAGTATTCTAGGAAAATAAGAGCCCCATTGTCAGCTCTTCTGGTGGCCAAACTTACAGCCACTACGTCTCGAAACTCTGGAACACTCTTCCTCTATCCCTCTGTCTTGCCCCTTCCTTTACCCATCTTCCGGTTGTGCCTGAAGACCTTCCTCTTCGACCATGCCTATGGTCACCTCCCCCCCCCCCCCCCCCCCCCCCGCAGCTTGGCATTGTTTTCCACCACTGTCAAGCTCTCTGGGATGTGTGAGGGGCGCTGTGTGTATGCACGTTGTTGTTCTGTTTGGTCACCATTCCCTTTATCATTGCCAAATCCTGAATCAGCCATAACTCAGCTGTTTTGCATTGTGAAAGCTAGAAATTATCCAAAAGCTTTCCCAGCCATTTCACAATTGTAGTTTTGAGTGAGCTGCTCGCGATTACAGTTTGAGAATATTTTAACTGCAGCCAAAACCAACACAGCAACAAACAAAATGGTGCAGTGTCACATTACAGGCCTCGAAATGTGGTCTGTTTGGCATCAATTTTCGATAGACTGACTGGTGAACGTAGACTGATGCTGCTTTCTGCATTTCCGGACCAGATTTCAATGGTGGTCTGTGATTTCTGCACTATGGCTCTCTAGATCACTGAGTGGATTCTTATGTACTGTATTGCTCCAT